GTATTCTGAGATTGATGAGCTGGAAACTTCTCTTTGGGGGAGGGGGTAAATTCAATGCTTTGTAGTTACTGTTGGTATGACCGTCTTTTGTTGAAAGGAGGCATGCATGCAAACACGTCTGTAAAGTATGCGTAACTAAAGATGAGCTTGTCACGAAGAATCAAGCAAAGCTTTTGTACTTTACATTTTTGGTTCATCCCTAACAATAGAGACCGCAATGTGCAAGTAAATTGTGTTTCCAAATTCCTTTGTCAATTTTGATGCTTTTGGCTGTCTCCAGCAACTTCACAAATCTATCACGTAGTCCTAGATAGACTAGCTTTTCAGAGTGTATGATTTATGACGCTATAAGGATACTGCACATTCCCTATATTTGGTTATGCCTTCATTTTATCTTTTATCTATAGCTGATGATTGAGTTGTAATACTTGCCGGGTGTAATGTATGGATTTTTTGCTAGAGATTGCAAGTTTACTTCTGATCTTCATTACACCTTTTCTCTGTGCGTCGTCCATCGATCACTGAATGGTTATTGTTCGCCAATTCCTTTCCTTGTATAAAGTGATTAATCGTGATACGGATGTTCTTCAGGAAATCATGGCACTTAGAAGGTGAAACTTTTTGGTTGCAGGCATGTGAAAAAGAATCTTTGACTGCTCCAGTTGCTCAACCATATGATGGAATCCTGCAACTGCATTGAGCCACAGTGGCCAGCTGATGAGCTTTTGATGAAATACCAGTACATCTCAGATTTCTTTATTGCTCTGGCTTACTTTTCCATCCCTCTAGAACTCATCTACTTTGTGAAGAAATCTTCTGTATTTCCCTATAGATGGGTTCTTGTTCAGTTTGGTGCTTTCATAGTTCTGTGTGGAGCAACCCACCTGATCAACTTATGGACATTTACCATGCACACAAGAACTGTAGCAGTGGTCATGACCACTGCAAAGGTTTTAACTGCTGCGGTATCATGTGCTACGGCTCTCATGCTTGTACATATCATCCCCGATCTACTTAGTGTGAAAACCAGGGAACTATTTCTGAAAAACAAAGCTGCAGAACTTGACAGGGAAATGGGCTTAATTCGTACTCAGGAGGAAACTGGCAGACATGTCAGGATGCTAACACATGAAATCAGAAGCACTCTTGATAGACATACTATTTTGAAAACTACTCTGGTTGAACTGGGCAGAACTTTGGCGTTGGAAGAGTGTGCTCTATGGATGCCAACACGAAGTGGCTTGGAGCTTCAGCTATCCTACACTCTCCGTCAGCAGCAGAATCCAGTTGGATACACTGTACCCATTCATCTTCCTGTGATCAATCAAGTGTTTAGTAGCAATTGTGCGGTGAAGATTTCACCAAATTCACCCGTCGCAAGAATTCGTCCACTTGCCGGGAAATACATTCCCGGTGAGGTTGTCGCTGTGCGGGTTCCTCTGCTGCATCTCTCTAATTTCCAGATCAATGACTGGCCTGAGCTTTCAACGAAACGTTATGCTTTGATGGTGTTGATGCTTCCATCAGACAGTGCTAGACAGTGGCATGTCCATGAGCTGGAGCTTGTTGAAGTGGTAGCTGATCAGGCATGATACTTGATCTTCTCCTGATGTTGTCAGTTATTACTCAGTCCAATGTATTTGCAAGAAATGTTGCCTCTCTTCAGACGCATTGATATCCAACTTAGGACATATGCATTAGCCAGTAAAGTACTTGTGGAAACTTTTGGAATTTGGCCGGTAGCAAATTATTATTTGCATATTGTCTCGGAAAAATTCACTTCGCTTCTTTATGTGGATACACATGTAGAGTATTTACCAAATTTATTGTGAATCCAGGTTGCAGTTGCTCTCTCCCATGCTGCAATACTGGAAGAGTCTATGCGGGCAAGGGATCTTCTCATGGAGCAAAATGTTGCACTTGATCTGGCCAGAAGAGAAGCGGAAACAGCTATTCGTGCTCGCAATGATTTTTTGGCTGTCATGAACCATGAAATGAGAACTCCCATGCATGCAATTATTGCCCTTTCTTCCTTACTGCAGGAAACCGAACTGACCCCTGAGCAGCGTCTAATGGTTGAAACGATAATGAAGAGCAGTAATCTTTTGGCTACACTGATAAATGATGTATTAGATCTTTCAAGGCTTGAAGATGGAAGCTTTCAACTTAACATCGTCACTTTTAATCTTCATGCTGTGTTTAGAGAGGTATGATTTGCATTTATTGGGAATTGAGTTTGATTGCTTATGACTGCTTCGTGATCTTTGTGAACTTGCACACTTTTCCTCCCTTCTGCAGGTCCTTAATTTGATTAAACCAGTGGCATCTGTGAAGAAACTGCTCATCACATTAAATTTAGCCCCAGATTTGCCTGAGTATGCTGTTGGGGATGAAAAACGCCTCATGCAAGTCATCTTAAATGTTGTTGGTAATGCAGTTAAATTTTCTAAAGAGGGTGGCATTTCTATAACTGCTTTTGTGGCTAAAGCAGAGTATCTAAGAGATGTCAGGACTCCCGAATTTTTTCCAGTGCCAAGTGATACTCACTTCTATTTACGTGTACAGGTGTAGTTTTCTTCTACGCTTGCTTGAAATGCTCATGCTTTCCTATGCCCGATCGTTTGCTGTTAGGTATTCTCTACTATACAATGGTTTCTTCCTTGTGCAGGTGAAAGATTCAGGATCAGGTATTAACCATCAAGATATTCCCAAGTTATTCACCAAATTTGCACATAACCAATCATTAGCAACCAGAAATTCTGGTGGGAGCGGACTAGGTCTTGCCATTTGTAAAAGGTACTCTTGGTCGTTAGTTATCCACCTCTTCAGGTCTCATCACAAGTTCAGCATGTTTTTGTACTTGTTCTATACAATTGCTTGCATATTCCGATACAGAGTCAGATGGACTCGAGAGTTGTTAATAAAACCCTGGGGGACTGTACTAAGATCTACTTTTATGGATGGGTGTTCAGGTTTGTAGCTCTCATGGATGGACACATTTGGATTGAAAGTGAAGGCCTTGGAAAAGGGTGTACTGCCACTTTTATTGTAAAGCTGGGAATCCCAGAGAAGTTAAATGAATCTAAGTTCCCTGCATTACCCAAAGTGCCAGCAAATCATATCCAGGCCAATTTTTCTGGGCTCAAAGTGCTTGTTATGGATGACAACGGGTCAGTCACATTTCCATTTATTTTTTGCATGCATACATGAGTACTTGATGTTAAGGCTAAGTTCTATATTAGCATGTTATTGTGACCAGTGGCTGCTATACAGCGTTTACTTGCTTGGAAATCGTCAATATAGAGAGCTCACAATCCAATGTACCGTCCAATGGAGAATTGAAGTTTTCTCTTCCATATGAATTGGTAAAAATCTGACTAGTGATAACATTGCAAGGATGCTGAATGATTCTGGAATATGTGAGATCACATTTTTCCTCGGTATTCTAGCATGCTTTGAAAGCAACACAAAATCTTCCGTGTTCCTTGTACGTGTTAATTATTTTGATAGTAGTTAATGATCGATCGCGGACATAGGTTATAAAAAGGTGAATATTTATTTAATGAGGATATTGATGTAGAGGCAGTCACTTAGTTAGGTCGAGTGAGCAAATAATTTCAAAATGCAATTTTTAGAGCTGAACTATCTAGTCTCAAGTTCTAGGGGATAGTGTAATTACGGAGTTAAAGTTCTGCGTAAAAACTACAGGCGAGATTACTCAATTTGTTTTTTCACCTGGATATATAGTGATGTTTTGCTGTTTGATGATAACAACTCGTCCTTGCCATTTGACTCGCTCAATCTCTTTCTTCATATCCATGCAGTTGGATGGTTTATCCAGTGATGTTGTGGCATAAAACACACTTATTCATGTCATGCTTACTGTTGTCGACTTTTTTATGATGCTCCAGTGTTAGCAGGGCAGTGACCAAGGGACTTCTCGTACATCTGGGATGTGATGTGACAACCGTAAGCTCGGGGGACGAGTTGTTGCGTGTTGTCTCTCAGGAACACAAGGTAGTCCTCATGGATGTTTGCACGCCTGATATAGACAGTTACGAAGTTGCCGTCCAGATACACAGGCTGTGTTCGAAACATCATGAGAGGCCACTCTTGGTGGCACTTACTGGAAGCACTGACAAGTTAACCAAAGAGAATTGCATGAGGGTTGGGATGGATGGTGTTATCCAGAAACCTGTGTCACTTGATAAAATGAGAAATGTACTGTCTGAGCTACTGGAACGCTGACTTTAAATGTCTAGTTTGGCCCCGTCTTTGAGAAGAATGGAGGAAAATAAGACTGTACGATAAAAGCTTCTTGCAGCAAATGATGTGTAAATACCGCGTGCAGTGGAACAATGGAGGGATATCGAGCAATGCTACAGATACCCCCATGTGAAACGAGACTCGTACCAATTTTTATCCAAGAATGGACATGGTCATCAAATGACTCAACAACCCGGAGCACAATAGTGAAGCTGCTAGCAACTTAACGGGATGATGGCAAGTCTTACGTGTCTTCGACAAAGTTGTGATGTCCTTGCAAAGTTGTGATGTCGTTGCAATCGTAAGATACTATGGTCCCATCAATGACATCTCTTTGTCTGAATCAACTACTTTTTGGGTTGGCAGCTCCTGTAGGCTTTTATAGGCAACGTAGTTTGTACCCACTGTAAGTTTTTATACTGTGTAGGGTGTTGGGGCACGGATGTGGGACTTAGCCTGTGCATTGGACACGCCAGTTTTCGTTCATTAAGGCAAATAACTAATGGTTATCTCAAGAAGCATACCCATTTAGGAGCAATTTGGTTGAATGCAAATGCGGGAGACATGAAGATAATCCTTAGTTCAAAGAATCCTAGGTAATAATTGGCCCGTTCATACCATACAATGTAGTGGGCAGTAGTGTCGACGAATTAAGATTTTGCCTGCTGTCGTTTTCTTACACTCGATTTTGGGAAGTGAAATTCACCATCGAGCGCGTCAAAGAGTCCCGAGAATGAAACATCGAAAACGTGGTGATATATTGAAAACAGAGAGCAATTAGCACTTAGCATGTCCCAGTATTTACCTCATAAAGACCTTACAAAAGACACCCCAACCCCCCAATCTTACTGACTTCGACGGGGAAAAAACACGACACGAAAGAGAGACATCCTCGAACCGTGGGGGGTGGGTTTTATTATTAGACCCTTAAAACCAAAACAAAAGAGTATGTTCACTTGGCTCAGTTGGGAGGGAAAAAGATCTCGGAATCCATCCTTTTGGAGCTGAAAGCCTCCTCCACGTCCTGGGGAACGTTGAAAGATGCTCGGAGCACTTCAGGCGATAAGGCCTTCCAAACCGAAGTTCTCCCAGCAAGATGAGTGAATATAGGACTGCAATACCACCACATACAAAGTATTATGAGTTTGATATTTATGTATGTCAATCAGGTATATATATATATATATATCTTGTGATTTTTCTAGGCTTCAAGCGCACACTAATCCTGTCTCGCAGGATAAACCTTTTCTGGCGACGGTCCAATTTAGGTTATTCAACATGAGGATTAGCAACCTTTCCTTAAGAGAGTCCTGTGTAACTTTAATATTAATATCCAGTAGCAAAAGAGAATATGAGGGCGAAAACACTGACAGTATACAGAGGTGACAACATTTGTTGAGACAGACACTTACTTGGGAGTTGTAATAATAGAGAACCAGGCCATCCCATCCGGATCCGCAATCTTCGAGACAACAAAGAACCTGGGCACGATGAACAAGTTCCCAGCCTTCACAGTGGTCTCCAGGACCCTCTTGCCATCGACACCAACAACCTGGGCGCGGCCACTGCCCCTAACAATGTAGGTCACCTGCAGTGCCGAATCACAAGAAAAGCCCGGAGAGCACATTGCACTTCCATCCAGCTTAACAAGATCGGCCCCAAGACCAACCTGACTAACCAAAGGCAGGTTGTTGGTGTTCAAAACAACAACTCGTCCGCCATTCTTAATGTCGACATCCAATGGAGCCTCCTCGCAGTTCAAAACCATGCCATTCCGGTGCCCCTCCTTCGGTTCTGGCATCTTGAAACCAGCATCAAGCTTCACGATGCCACTGCCTGGTTGACTACCGACGAGCGACTTGACGATGCCTTCTTCCAAGTCCCACGCTCGGCTCACGAACTCAGTGGTGAAGCCAGTGAAGATGCCACTAGCACCGGTTAGGAAGAAATCGGTGAATTGCCCAGCTTTGTGAGCCTTTGATGTATCGCCCAGAAAGAGAACGACCAAATCCGTGTCGTCCCTGTTGTACCACCAGGTAACGACGCCGAAAGGGAGGGCGATAGCATCGCCCTTCTTGATTGCTATGACCTTCTCCTCAGATTCAGGGAGGACAATTCCAGCAACTCCACACCCTAAGGGATCACACCACAAAAATAAAAATGCCATTTTTTCACCACGGGGTTAAATCACGATGACAAAAGCGACTGTCAACAGTGAACCACGATATCAACCATGATAATCATCAGGTATTTATATCCGAAAATTGCTTGTTAGAAACAGATTGTAATATAAGAAGACTACAGCTAAAGGATCCAACATCTTAACACGGGGCACGCAAAACAGAACAATGCGACCGTCCACTGAGAAAACGATTATCAGAGAAAACAGCACATCTGAAGAACAGTGACTACGAAGAAAAGGAGCAACTTAAGAGTGTTACATTAAAATTTCCACTTTAAAAAAAAAAAAAAGGAGGAAGAGGAGGATCGCCACTAAAGAGAGTCCGGTTCCAATTACTGTTAGAACCACAGCACAGCACAGCGAGCGAGAGCGAGCGATCCATCTATGCACAGAGTATGATCAACCTCGCGTGAAAAGCAGGCGACGAGAATACGACAAGCAGGATAAAAGCACTGGAAAAAGTAAAAAAAGATAATTAAAGTTGCGAATCATCATCCAGAAACCGTCTTCTTCGACGATCGGACGGGGCAGAGAGGAGCTCGACCGTGATCGGTCCAAGAAACACGAACCGAACCGAGCGATCCGCATCCACGCACAGTAAAAGAAAGGAAACGGAATCAACCTCGCGTGCAGAAAGCGGGCAAACGGAATAGCGAGAGGGAAGGGGGGGCGATGGATGGATGGAAGGCGACCTTGGAGGACGTAAGCGACCTTGGCGGAGTCGGAGTAGCGGGGGAGGGCGAGGCCGTGCTTCTCGAGGGCGAGCTTGGCGGCGCCGATGTTGCCCTCGCGGAGCATGGGGAGGTCGGAGGGGCACCAGGCGTGGTAGGACCCGCCGTCGCCGCCGTAGACCTTCTTCGCGAGCTTCGGGGAGAGGTCGAGATCCATGGGTGCGAGCTGACGGAGCGCGGCAACGAAGGAGGAGGAGGAGGAGCAGCAGCAGCAGCAGAGGAGGAAAATGGGAAGCGAGCGAAGTGAGCGAAGCGAGGGTGGGCGGGGGGGAAGGGAGTGAATATATAGTGAGGAGTGGGAGGAGGATAGCGATGGATCTTTTCTGTTACCGGAATTGTAGCGGATGACGACGACAACGGCGACGAAGAAGAAGAAGAAGATATTTGACAGAGAGTGGAAGGACGCAACTCAGCTTCCAGCTTTTTAACTAGAAAGAGGAGAGAGAGAGATGGACGAACGAACGAACGGCATCTTCTGCATGAGGGACACGTCAGCGTTCGTTCGTGCGTGGGGCCAAGGCTACAGGTCAGCATGCGTGGGGCCCGGCGGCCACCGAGAACAATCAATTTGATCATTTCATTACTGATCCTTAAAAGCCGAGCCGTCTCGTTACTGATCCGGCTTAAAATCTAAAAATTTACCGCGGATTTTTTCGCCTTTGAAAGGTAGTCTCAATCAGATAAATATATCCAGAGCGGTATAAGGAAGGAAGGGAGGAAGGGTCTCGATCTCCCGAGTTTCGAATCCGGAACTTGCCTTCTACTATATTTGCCCCCCTTTTAAATTTTTAAGCCTATCTTGTTTTGGCGTTCTCGGGAAAGGATTTTAAGCTTTTGGCGCGAACGGTTGTTACTAAAGAATGTCGATAGGTACACGTTCAAAAGGGGTAAAAAGTTGGGAAAATGACACAAATTGTCCCTTAACTTTGACCTAACGTGCAATTTGGTCCCTGAACTTTTAATTTGTTCAATGTAGTCCCTGAACTTTAACCTAATGTTCAATTTGGTCCCTGAACTTTTGATTTGTTCAATGTGGTCCCTGAACTTTTAATATGTGTTCAATTTAGTCCCTGAACTATTTGAAAATGTTCAATATAGTCCTTCAGTTAATTCAAGTGCAGGGACTATATTGAACATTTTCATGTAGTTCAGGGACTAAATTGAACACATATTAAAAGTTCAGGGACCACATTGAACAAATCAAAAGTTCAGGGACCAAATTATACATTAAGTCAAAGTTCAGGGACTATTTGTGTCATTATCCCTAAAAAGTTTGCAAATTTTCTCGAGTAGATACATATTTTTTTTTTTTTGCGAAAATATCGATGTAATTTCATAAAAAAAGAACAGGCATGGACCTTTTTTTTTTTGGGTAGAGAAATTGAGAGAGAGAAGAGGTGATTTTTGAGCGTCGGGAGACAGACGAGGAATACTAGATAAACTACCTAACGATTTACTCGTCCTTTGGCTGGAAAAGATCTTAAACCTACGGAAATTAAGGGATAAAGTAGATAATGAAAAAGCAATGAAGTGTCTATATGGGGAAGATTACACTTAAATCCTCTCTGATTACGTAAATCTTTTAAACTGAATTCTTAAACTTCATTTTTTTGGTGGCGCTATTTCCACCGCCATTTTTGTTGAGACGCTCTTTTTTTAACTTTTTTTTTTTGGAGTTAAGTGGCCGAACTACCATTCTCTCTCTCTTCAATTTATTGTTTCTTTTTTCTTTTGTCGGGCTAACGAACAAAACCGTTTATTTCTATCATCTCTCGTATCGATTTTACAATATAAATGCCCCATTACACCTAATAAGATATCTTCTTATCCTGAATCATATTATCACTTTGCCTTAAAAAAGGTTGTTAATTTTAATTTACGCTCTCAATTTTCTTTTTAAGAAGCTATCTAAAAGATTAAAATTTTATATTTATGACGGCTTGTGAATACATAGTTAACAGTTTATTTTTTATTCAAATAGTTTGAGTGAATCTATAATCGAAGTTGAAAATTAAATTTCAATCAAATTATCTAACCGATCTTGACCTTGTAGATATTTTCTTTAAATAAATTTTTAGGTTTCTAAAGTTGTTTTTATCGCAAAAAAAAAAAACTTTAGGTTGCTAAAGTTAAACATAGCTTATTTTGTACTATCTTTAAAACTTTTCACATGTTTATCTGAATTGCAAGATGAAGTTGAAAATCTAGTTACGTTTTTTTCACTTTCAAACTCACAACAGAAGATTACGGAGAAGAGTATTAAACTTATTTTCAAGTTTTGATAGGCCTGTAACGAGACTGAATCTAACATCGATATTAATTATTTTCGGAATAGCAACAAGATCCCGTGATCGTCCTTCCACTCTCCTCTTTAGAATTTTAAACCTAGTTCTAAAGAGAAGGCTCTACCTCACCTACAAAGGACCACCATGGATTGGCGGAGGAGCCCGTCCGTTAGCTTTTCGATGGCATAGTCCAAACTAACTATAGCCCCGTTTGGTTCAGCTTTATAAATAGATATTGGAGAAATGTAAATGCCTTTAACTCAAAGCCTCTTGGAAAAATGCAAAATGACGTTTATTGGCAAAGGGTTCGGGCCACCGGCAAGCCAGATCTGGTGTCAACGGCCATCGCCCGAGGTCATGTGACCCTCGTCAAAGATTGCGTGACAAAGGTGGCTGTTACCGGAGTCACGCGACCCTAGGCGACCGTAACTTGGGCGGTCGCGCAACCTCATGCGGCCCTCGTCGGGAGTCGCGCGACCTTGCCGGCCATTCACCGACGCGATCTGGCCTCGTCAGTCCTCGCTGGCCGCCCTTGCGCAAAAAAGATGAACAATAACAACGAGGGGCAAAATCGAAAAATTAAAAAATTAGTGAGGGTAATTTGAAAAAAAAAAATTAGTTTGGCAAATGCTGAAAGCCCTACTAGCTTTGGGCTTTCACTTGAAAGCCTCTTGAGAAGGTTTGCCAAACACCTTAGCATTTTGCCAAGGGGCTTTGAAAGCCGAAAAGCTTAAACAAACAGGGCCTATGGCTGGTTTCAATGAGGGAGTTGGAAGATATCCAAATAGTGCTGGATCTCTTTTCATATTATTACCTAAGTCTAATTTTTTAGAGGTGAGTCCTAGCTTAAACTAAGCTAATTATCACCATTTTTTTTATCTTTTTTTTCTAATGATGTCTAATCCATTGAATTGAATCATTGTCTTGGTGATATTAAGCTACTTGTATCCCTAGAGTTTATTCGACTAAAGAGTAAGCCTATGATGAAACCTAATCTAAAATTCAAAGTCTAAAACTAGGGGTGTCAAAAACACCCGAACCCACCTGACATGAGCCGAAATTTTCAGGTCGGGTCTTTTTTCAGTTCGGGTAGTAGATATATCAACAGGCCTCGAAGCTATTCGGTTCGAGGTTCGCTTACCTGAACCGAACCAAACCGAAACAACATAAAACCCTTCATCTTCTCCTTCTCCACCTCATTCATCAAGCTAGACACTGAACATGATTGCGAAGTTAGTAAACAAGAGACGACTTCACAATTGAATCGCAAAATTTTTTAAGGAGAAAACCCAATTTGAACATGATCTCACGCAGCCACGAATTCTCTTGGGAAATGATAAAAAAATTATGAAAAACGAGGGCACTTTGTCTTTCAAATAAACTTCTCAGGCCCATTTTATCCTCCAACGCGTGCACGGCGTGCCGATGAATTTCGCATTAGTTATGTCAGGAAACTTCATAGCAACGAATATTCGTTTATGATGGTCAATACGAGTGCCTCAGGCCCCGTTCAGACCCTGCATATATCGGTCAGGATATGGTAGCTTCTAGGACAACAGCGCAATTACTCAAAACGGCTTTCCAGGCGACCGATGCTATTATGCTTTTCAAGGAAAGTGGTCCAGTGCAACATAACTTCATCTGGTGGCTAGAACAAAAGAAAACTGTGTGACAATGCATATAAATTGAATTGATACTAACAGGCAATGGAGGCAATACCCAAAAGTGATACGCTTGCCATCCATTGAGATGAAGCCAAGCTCAAGGAGATAAAGATTTGGCTCTAAAATGACTTTTTATAAAACGAAGAAGTATTTGATGCCCGAGTGATACAAAATTCCAGACAAGCATATGCGCTCAAAACCAAAAATTGGTTCGGAAAATCAGAAAAATGAGAAAACATATCTACTTGCTTTGGTTAATGTGTTACTCATTGTCCTGTAAATGTATCCCTTTTAGCTTCTCGAAGTGTTGATTGTGCAGACTAAACTCGAACGGAATTAGACTAGCAGCAGCTCTAGACTAACAGCTGCTGCTCTGTACCTCGTTAACCGAAGACTAATCCCTGATAGCAGTGACCGATATTCTCATGACTTCGCAGGACCAGAAGCTCCATTTGGCATTTGCTCGGGGAGTGATGCCTTTTGAGGTACTTTTCGCAGGAAGGTTTTCGTATAAAGGGAGCCAAAGACAATAACCTGTTCAACATAACAGAAGTGTGAGTTAGCTGGGTCAGAAGCAATTCAATAAAATGCTTGAAAAGAATCAGGTTGACGCTTACCGCACCAATCCACTGTTCCCAGCTAAGAGGATGGGCAAACCACACACATGACAGCAAAATGCTGACCAACTACAACAGAAAAAACTGAAGTCAGAAGAATCCTTTATGAGCCTACGGCTTCAGGGGTCAGAGATATATTACCTGTCTTGTGGTCATTATAGTCGCAAATGTAAGAGCTCCAAAGGTCCGAATAGTGTAGGAAATAAAAAATTGACTGGTTGTTGCTACCTGATAAGTAAAAGCAGGATTTTGCACAAAGTATAATACAAAAGGAAAACACTAAAGTTAACTAGACAAGATACAGGAGGAGTGGAAAAAATCACTTACAGTAGAAAGCAAGGCAATGTCAAAGAAACAATCGTTATGCCGATAAACAAAATCCACGGCTGGAAGAAGGTGTCCTTGTAATATAATACCTAATCGAATAAGAAAAAATCAATGAATGCATGCCATCAATAGATATTAAGAGTAGAGAATTTGCAGTTTGTCATGACACATCATTGCTAAGACCATCTCTTCCAAAAAAGTTTGGAAGACCTAGATTACAACCATCAATGAACTTTTTTTCAGTATGAGATCATATGATTTTAATACTCATGCTCAAACATCAATAATCATTAATCAATGTCGCAGAAAGCACATAACAAGTCGAATAAACATCAATACTGGAGATGCAGAATGCAAAACACCACCAGAAGAAGTTGTTGAACTCAATAAAAATTGGGACTTGCCTGTCAAACTGAGAATACAGGAACATATCGTCGTATAGAAAATTTGATTGTGTATCTCCATATTGTAGCCCTTAAATAACT